GGAAAATACCCCATAGGATTTACTGAGCTAGGAACAACATAATAAGAGACAATCTGTGAAATTAATGCTCAAATCCAAACATAAGGACTTTATACACTAGAAGAATTACTTTTATCCCCACTAAAACTTTTCAAAAAATGTAAACACTGTTATTTATCAGCTCCCCAGTGAAAAATATTTGTGGCTTTCTTTTAAAAAATGATGAAGCAAAGCAGATGCTGCAGTGCAGAGCACAGCGAAACAGGGAACAGTTGTTCTCTCGCTCTCCAGTGTGCCATGCACATTATTTGCAATCATACAAGGCCTCCTGAGGCCACGTGCTGAGCTGGGATGCAGCCCTGCTGCCCTGGGAGTTATGCACGTGCAACTGAGATCAGGATTTGGCCACGTACTTGCTTTCCTGGCCCAACAAGCATAATCCTTGAGATATAAATTCTTTCAGATGCACGGACAAGACCAGGCACAACGTAACTTCCCCGCTGGCAGGGTTCACATTTGTTGCACAGGGTGCAGCTCACAGGGCACACATTTGCTTTCACCGGGACATGAAGTAAGACTGTCTGCTCATCAGCTGCCAGGGGTAGGGTAGGGAGCTTGTTGTAATTCTGTCACATTAAAGCCCACTAAACCATCAGCTTACCCCAGGAAACAGCACCATCCTCTTGCTGTCAGGCACCCAGTGGCCAGCAAGGCTGTAACATTGGTCCTGCAAGCTGGCATGAGCTCCCAGCTGAAGGGGAGTTTCTCACTCTCACAGCATGAAGAGATTGTTTTCCATCCAGCACAGGGCTCACAGAGACCCCAGGCCAAACAGGAGTGCCCTGCCACAGGAGAGGAGCTCTGGGTGTTGCCCTTCCCACCCAGCTCCTGACAGAGCCCTGCACACATGGTCTGCAATCAAGCTCCTTGGGGAGCCACCCCCAGCTCCTGAGGGCAACTGTGTGCCTGAACAAGCCTGATGATCAGCACCTGGAACCTCCCTACCCTGCCCTGGCTCAGCACCCCACTTCAGCCTACCCTGGGCTGTCCATCCCAGCCCCAGGAACACTGATGGACAGTGTGCTCCAGTCCTGTCTCAGCCCAGCTTGTCCCCAGCCTGGCTCCATCTGCACAGCCCTGCCTGCCTGTCCTATGCTGTGTGCCATGCTGGTGCCCCTCACCAGGCCCAAACCCAAAAGAAGGAGAACTGATGGGTTTGAGACTACTCTGGCAGGGTCTCTGGGGCCAAGAGCCAGCTGTAGCGGAGACTGGGATGGTAAAGTTTTCCACACAAGCTTACCCAACACTAGCATCGCATCCTCCATAAATCACACTTCAGAATTCATAGTGAGTCAGCACTTTGGTTAGGATTGTCAAGATCATTTCAGTCTTGTTTTAACATCGAGTTGCTTTTTAAGACTCAGTCTCTCCTGGGGGCAAGACTGAGTTTTGTTGAAGATTTAAGGTGATGAAGATTTAAGGTGACGAGGACTTTAGGTGATAAAGATTTAAGATAAACCAAAGGTTTTTCACAAACTTTGGCAGTCCATCTGACAAGCACTAAAAAACCAGGTAGGGAAGAAATGTGCAGCACAGACAGGTTTGGCCCAGGGATAAAACCCCTTACAGGAGGAAGGTCAAATGATGTATTGGCAGCTGAACTTGCAGTTATACTCATTTACCATTTTCTTCTTGATTCATTAGGTGAGAAACCAGACTTAATTTCCATGTCTCAAAGTTCAGCCAATTTTATCCATTCATAAACATCTTTTTCCAAATGTTACCATTTCTTTTTTTTCAACACCTATGAGGAAAAATTTTGGCATCTGTAGAACTGGAAAATTCTAAGAGCAGGTAGTTTGGACACCTATCAGGAATGACACAGACTATATAGCTTTGAGACAAAGCAATGGACTAGCTAACTTGTCAGGAACTTTCTATGGGTTTAAAGGCTCCTTCTGAGGCAGAGGATGAACTGATGGAATAATTCACTTTTTAGACATTAGTTTCCTCAGTTCTTGCTGCAATTCAAAACAGCAGACAAAGCCCCTGCCGTTCACTACAAACAGCGTTGGCCTTGTGCTAAGGTTGCAGTTCATGATACTGATAACATTAATTTTTAGCAGACAAATACAGTCTGTGATAAGTTTGAAAAAATTAGAAAAGGCCTTGGCAGAGCTTCAGTACAAATTCAGCACAACGTTCTTTGCTTCTTGTCCCTTGGGATAGTATTCCTCTAATAGGTGTTTTTTCACATGCTGTTGAACTATCTTGGACTCTTTCAGAACTCGCTGTCTCTCCCATCAAACAGCTTGCGAATGCTGGTATCAGGATATACAGTTCAAAGATGGCAAGAGAGCCTCTGCTTTACGCTGTTACTTGTACATTCATGTACATTCATGTACATTCATGTAGAGGCAGGAGTCACGGTGACTTATATTTACCATGAACCGTTTGTATTGTGAACACATGTGTTTTACAAGGTTCATCATTTTCCCTGCAGAGCTTGTAAAACCTTTGGAAATCTTGATACTAGGGACCTGAAAAAAGCATAAAAATTCTTCAAACCTTGCAGATTTGCAAGGAAACACGGTTTTATATTAGAAAACATATGAGTTATTTCACCCTACATGTAAAATACAATTCCCTTCTCTCCTCCAGCCTTAAAAAATTGGTCTAGCTGGCAAATAAATGAGAAATTACTCCCTTCGGGATTCATAAAAGAGTTAAAAACAACAATCTGAGAGAGTTTACATCTGAATGATATTAGAACAAGACTTCAGAGGATTAAAGATTAAAAAAGTGAGTAAAAGGTATCAAGGTTTCACTTCTGTTACTTAGAGAACTTCAATTTTTCTTTTTAAATAACCAAATTTTTCTCTTTTGTCAGAAATGGGCTACTTTATAATAAAATGATTGCATTTTTTCCTGAAAGGTCATAACCCTTAAACAACTATTTTTTTATTATGCGGTTTGTTACAAATGGAAAAAAAATTATTAAGTACCTGAAATAGTATTAATGCAACTTAAAAAGAAAATAATCAACTTGTAACAATACATAGCTTCCAGCAATGATCTGCAAAGAGCCCCATGCTATTGCATCCTTATGACTGGATCAGAGTGTGGCCTCAGTCAGCACTTCTCAAAAGGGGGTCCTTAGGAAGCAGATACTTTCCTTGTTTTAAAAGAAATAACATACATTTTAACCCTTTTTCCAAGCAAGTCATTGGAGAATTACCACTTCTGTAATGCTAGAAAATTATAAAGGGAATGAAGGTCAGCACAGTTTCTGAGTGGACATAAACAGACTACACGAGGCAATCCTCTAGCCATGTGGCCCAGCCACAAGCTTAAGAACTCCTGGTACAAGTCTATTTAAATTGCAGATTTTGGGGGGGGTTTAAAGACTTTCTGTTTGTCAGGTTGCTTATATATGCTTCCATTTATAAACTTCCATTCTTGCAGTCTCATAGCCTTCTGCCTGACTGCAGTTCCTCAGGGCAGAGCGAATTATAAAAGAAAATTGGCATAAATCAAAATTCCTTGTAGATTACACGGGGGGGGGGGGGGGGGGGGGGGAAGGGGAATAGAGAAACACAATGCTCTTACTGCATAACTCTCAATTATAGAAAAATAACTTCAGTGAGAAAATTACTACTTTCATAATCACTCTTCTCAATAATTGTTTTTTGAACTAAGGAAGCTGTATGGTATTTGACAGCTACAGGCAACGTGAATTGTGTGGAACTTGTAGGATCAAAACAGCAATAAACATAAAGGAGTATATGTCTTGATAGATTTAAATACAAAATATGAATTTTATGTTGCCAGTTCAATGGTTTGTGGTGTTTTTCTCTCCTCAGGATAAGTATGCCATGTTTTAGACAACAAACAAAAAAAAAGAAAAAAAAAAGAAAAACGGTATGTCTTTTAGTAATGAAAAGTGTAGCTTTCCTATATTTTAACCAAACTGTATTTGGGGGAGATAAAAACGTTAAAACAAAGTCTGAATTGAAGAGATAGGAGGAAGAGATAGGACACGATTAAATGGATTAGATCACCTCTGGAACACAGACTTTCATCGGAAGCGTGTGTATTGCTACGAATACTATCACCAAATCTTCAATACAGAAATACTTTTATGGGTAGGAATAAATCAGAGCCAGGATTAACAAATGACAGTATCTTCTTTAACAGAGAGAAAAACTGCAGAGAGATTAAGAACACCTTTTCTCTGTCATTCAGTGCTTTGACCAATGGGTCACCAGGATATCACAGAAATCAGCAGGATATCTGCTTCCTATATGGTCTGGCTACTTTTGCTAGAGCTGTGGCTGGAAAGAAAGGGACCTCTTAGAGTCACTGGCCCAGCCTTTGCAATGAAAACCTCATAGAGAAGCAAAATACCGAGGAAGATGTTTTGCTTGGAAGCACAAGTTCATCCTCCGAAGCAACAACTACCCTTGGCCTTGTCAATTTTCCAACAACAGCTGCTAGTTATCCGTCACGTGAATATGTTTTCAATATACTGTGCAGCTGGACCAACTTGAAACCAATTTGAAAAACATGTTTATAGAGAAAGGCAAAGGAAATGACCTGTAACACTGTAGACACAATATGTTTCACATGAGAGCTCCATCAGTTGAGTTTTTACCAACTCAGTTATTTTATTATCATTCAAGGTCCCCAGTTTTCATTGTGCTGCTCTTTGTTAGTAGGTCTAGGAAGCCTCTGACTTTCAATCTGTTCCCAATTTTTTCTGTGGTTCTTTGGTCCCAAAGGAAAAGCAGCAGTAAAACAGCCATTTAAGTGAATGGCTCCACCACACATTCCTGTGCAACTACAGAGGAGTGCAATGACTAAACCAGGATTTGCTTGCCTTTAGGTGTGTGAGAAGAATGAGCAAGGAGGTATTTCCTTTCTTTTGTGGCTATGAAGAGACAAGAATGAGCTTCAAAGGAGAGGTGATATGAAATGGTTCCAAACAAATGGTTTTTCTTCCAAGCAAATTCCCTGTAAAATGTGCTGAATCTTCCTTGAACAAAGTGGTCCAGCTTCCATCCACCCATCACTCATATCAGAATCTAATGAAATATGACAGATAGATTACAATTCTAACTATTTTGGATGTTAGGGTCCCATCTTAGAATATAATGAAGGAGAAAGTTGATGAAGAGAGCACTATCTCATCTTTCATTCTGCATAAATTCTTAATTCAATCCAAAATTATTTGCAATAAGCCAAACTAATCACCTTTGTTTCATGACAAAATCTCTTAGTTAAGGTTCCAGAAGCTTGTTATTCAGTGAGTGGGAGGTATTGAACATCATGACCTATTCCTATTTCCCTGATGGAATAAGAATTACCAGTTTCTTCAAATATGAGAGAAGTTCCAGCAACTGACTTAATTCAGAAAATACAAAGGTAGCATAAAGGAAGCAAAATATTTAATTAAAAATTGTGTATTAATCAGAAACAAGCAAAATCCCAAACTTCTGATGTAAGCCTTCCAGTGAGAAAATAAAATCAAATGTCTGACATACAACATACTGCAACATCCTGAACAAACCAAGTGTCAGCTCTGCTTAGGTAGGAAGATCTTTGGCAGTAAACCAAGAGGAAAAAATTCCCCAGCCCTTCTACAAGCAGTCTGTTGCACAGTAGTAAAAAACAGCTAAGCACAACAGGGAAGGAACATCATCTTTCACTATGAAATTTCTCAAGGTAGGAGTATTATGGGGTTTTATAGGGGAAAAATAGCATATATATATATATTCCATATTTTTACATATTTGAATTATTTTTTTAATCTGGCCAGGTTTCTGGACCAGATCTCCTGATGACATTTGCATCAAACGAGCACCTGAGCTGCTCCAGGGCTGGAGTCCTTAGTCACAGAACATCACTGGTGTGACATACCAGCTGCAGAATACGGTATGGGGCCTTGGGATACCTTTTCCACCTTTTCTATGAGACACTACGGCAACATTTCCACATCAAAATATATATTTTTTTAAAGAAAATATTTTAAATAATTCACAGAAATTGAAAGGATTTCAGGTAGCTGTGATGTTTCAGGAGGCAGCGGATCAAAGTGTGGTCTCTCTCTCTCTACTTCTTCTTCATTCCTTCCTAGCAGATCAGATTTCAGGGTTGGAAGCTGGGAAATGCAGAGAAACATAAGTAAGATGCGGAGATAAATTAGTAACAAAAAGCTTTTGTCTAAAACTGGACCAGTATTTTTGTATTACAACTCAGACTTACAAACTGTTTCCAATTAAGCATGTAAAAAGAGTTCGGTTTTTTTTGTTTTGTTTTGGTTTTGATCATGTTTTACCAAGCAAAAAAAGCAAAATGATTTAATTTAAATATCCAGATTTGCCTGGGTGTAATACAGAAGAATCTGGACACTGAATTTAAAGCAGTTATCTTATCTGTGATGCCTAAACATTTCCATGTGTACAGACAAAAATATTTCCCAAGAATGGTGTTATGGTTTGCAGCTTGCTTGTTTTTCCTTCATTGAAGTCTTTTGCATACAAGTTTAACAGAGATTTTTCCAATGGAAATAATTTTCAGATAAATTTATGAAAGTGAGATTTGACTATGGCTACAAGATGAAATTGTTTGCACTCTGTATGTTTTCCTTTGTTTCATGAAGCCTACTGTTTACTGGAGAATAGCAAATTAATAATTTCTATAAAAGTCCAATTTCATCTTTTGTAGTTGAACTCCTATCATAAAAGGAATTATCACCTGGGCAAAAATCCCTACCTCAGTCAGATTTGGTTCCTCACACCTCAGTAGCATGAATTTGATTTGTTGTTAATTTTTTCCCTGTGATGTCTCACAAATAGCTAATATACTTGCTTAAATCAGACAGGTTCCCTGCTCAGTCTGAGCTTTGTTTACTTACATGCTCATAGAAGAACAAAGAGTGCCAAGATTAATTCATTCAGCTTAATTTGCTACCTTATACTCTTGTAATGAGCGAGCTCTCACAACAGTTTTTGCAATTAGCATGTTTTAATAAGGCTGTCCAAGTATAGATTATTAGCTCAGTTATTGCTTTGGGAAGGATTTTATGAATACTTCTAATCAATTAAGAACCATGAGTCATTTGAAAAGGAACATATTGTTACATGAACAAACTGATGTGCAGAATCTATTCAAATTTTTTTGTTTGGTATTTTTTTACATCCTTATTTTGGTTTGTTGTGTTGTGTTGTTTGTTTGTTTGTTTCATTTTTGCAATATGAAATATGAAATCTAATTCCAAACTCCTTTAGAAAATAAGAAAAAAACTAATTTTAATGATCTTTTAGTGTATATGTTTTGTTACAGAAGAAGCCAGAGAAATAGCGAAAGTTTTATTTGGTTACAGTGGAGCTTATCCATCTTCTGCAGCTTATGAATTTGGGTTACTTAGATGTAAACTTTATTAGAGAAACTTCATTAGTTTCTAAATGGTCTTGGTTTTCTGAAATGGTAGGACTCCCTGACCTTTGTCCAGGTGTAACTGCTGTTGATACAATCTGTCTCTCAGCAAAGGGCACTGGATTTTAAAATTGTTCAGAGTTGAAGGCAACTATCCAAGCCCTAAGCTCAGAGTTTATCAAGTCTGCAGATGAAAAACAAGCCATACAGGAGAAGAATGTTCATGATTTATATCACCCATGAAGGCCATCACATACAAAAAGCCAAACAACAGTAAATTATCCAGCAATCTGTGAAAAGAATTTCAGTTTGGCCTAAGGGTGGAATCAAGCTGCTCAATCCACTCTCTTCCTTGAACCTTCCTTGTTGATGTTTTTTTTAAAGTGTCTTGGACTCTCCCATAATCTGTCATCTGTCTTCACTCCCACTAGTGGTGATCCTGCTGTGCTCTGTTAACACCAATATAGCATCACTACCTGGATCATATTTAGTGGGATGAAATGGAGATTCATCTGTCAGTCTAAATCCTTTTGTTAAAACTGGAAGTGGATGAGAGCACACTAACAGTCTGATTTACCTTCAGCCCCTGCAGAGCCCAGAATTGGGAACTAGGGGAATACTGAGAAAGACAACATGCTAACCATCCAAATTAGAAACCCTGAAGAGGCCTCAGCAGTGGGCAGATACTCCTGTATCTTGTTCCAGAATAATTCTAGCACCATCTCACCAGCATCTGGTTCTGGCATTGTTGGAGACATTATATAAGTGTTAACGATGTGCTGATCCACATCAGAAGAGAAACTCCTAGACCCATTAGACAGATACTGCACAAATACAGGAGTTGAAAGTTTCAACTGGCTTCTATTAATCAGAGCACCAAGTGTCCAGTTACTTATGTACTTTTTTAGATTATGGCTTTTTTTGCTGTAGTCATAATCTCCCACATGCTGATCTCAGCACCTTAAAAATTGTAAGGGAAAGGACCTTATGCTTTTGTGTGTCTTTGAGCTGTGGCTGAGTCCTGCCATGACCCTGCCAACCTTACAGAGGCCATGGAATAGGCCTGAGTATGAGAACCAGCCAGTCTTGTACATGACAGAAAGCTCAGCCTAAGGACAAGCTAATTAAGCAGAAGATTTCCATAACCAGTGGGTGTGAGGTCAGTTCTTCTCACTGTTTCCTTAAATATATTTTGTCTGTTTGGCACTAAACAGATTCTTGATTCTTGGTTTCTGGGAATTCTGGAACTGCAAATACCTTTTCCGCTTCTTCTATATTAGTGTATTTCACGCTTTTTTCAAACAAATAAGAATTTGAATGTATATGATATATTCAGCTTCCAGCTACGGTAATAAAATACTTTCAAAATCCTAAGCAAGTTCGTATAATGAAGCTGCAATACCACAGTCTTAATCTGACTACTATAGGTCAACAGTAAAAATATGGTATCTATGTCACAGGAGATACATTGGCAAGAACCCACTGACTCTACAAAAGAACAGTTACAAGTTTTGCTGTTTCTCACCTGATGAGTCAATAGCAGTGGTACAAACACATCCCAAAGTCATGAGAGCTGCCTTTTTTTTCTGCTCCATATCCTAGATCTCATTACTTCCATTCTTTTCTCTCCTTATCTGTTACCTGCTCACATGTTAAGTAGCATCTGCAAGTGTGAAAAAATAATAAAAAAAAGAAGATTCCTACACAAAGCTACCGAAACCGTAGCATATGAACATGTCCCAGGGCCCTACAATTGAAAAAGCCTTTGATGAATTAAAAGATGCAATGTTAATAATATATAAATCAAGAGAAAGTACCAAGAAAGCTTGGAGCACATGCTGGATAGCAGATTCTGCTTGTCCTGGCCTCTTCAAAGTACTCTCAAAGGTCCTCAGAATATATTCAATAGTATTAGTTTTCAAAACTAAGGTTAGCATATATTACCTTAAGAAATAAATGATCATAAGAGGATCCCCATACATCAAACACATGTGCCTGGACTGCAGTCCATGTTAGGATTTAGGTATTGTTGATCTTTTGGAACATAATATATATCAAACAACATTAAGAATATAAATTTGTCAATCAGGGATTATAAGAACTGACAATATTCTGTGACTACAAGATTGTGGACTTCTTAAAATATGGATCAACAAACTATAAGATTCAGGAAATGTGTATCTACTGAAACTCATAGAAAGATATTATTTATCTTTGGACTTTTGGACTCAGTTTGATAAAAATGGGATAAAAGACTTCATAGGATAAAGGATGCTTCTGAAATGCTAACACTGATGTGTATTTTTTCCTTTTATCACTCTGTGGTTAGCCTTCATAAGCTTTTCAAAGTGGAGTATGAGAGTATTTCTATTCCAAAAACTGAAATAAGAAATTACTACAGAGTAATATTACTACTATATTACTTCAACCGGAATATAGCCAATTATTAACAGGGAATGCTCTTTGTGGGCGACAACATCATAGGAGGCTGTATTTTTAATCATCTAAAAAGCAAACTGCAAAAAAATTGCCATAGCTGACACTGGGTTTTTGTTTTGCTTACCCTAAGACAAAATACATGTCCTAAAGGAAATTACCACACATTCTCCTTTTGGGACTCCGTTGCTTTTGTTACTTTCTTGATTAAACAAAAATTGATTTTTCCTTCTGAACCTTTTCAAAGACATAGGTAATCCAAGCTCTCTGTGATAAGGCCAATATTTACTCAGCCATGGCCAACTGATGTGCTGTTGGCTTGTAATCAGATGCTAAAAAGAACAGATGGCTTACGCAAATTTAATTTGCTATTTTATTTATCCTTATGCTGCCCCGTTATCATACAAGTATTAAACATTTATATTATACAGTTAAAAAGACAAGACAATTTAGACCTAGTTTATGAACTAATCTGACAAATTACCATCAATCCTGAGATGCAAAATAAATCACTTAGGTAGGATTCCAGATCGTTGTTTTTTTCTGACCTAGTCCGGGATGGAAACAATGGAATCATTACAAATTCTAGTATTCAGTAATGCTTGCCAGCTCAGTAGTTGATGCTGCATCAGTGACTGTGGAGAAAAATAAACAAACATTAAACAAACAAACAAAATAGCAATCATCTCCACATTATGGTCTTAGCACTTGTCTTCAAGGGATAAGACCATTTCATCTGGTAATGCAGATCTCCTCATCATTAAATTGAAACTTCTTAAGATTTTGCAGTATTGTTTTGGCACTTGGTCAGAATAGCTCCTGATGTCATCCTTCTTAGAAGACTTGACTCTAAGTCAGATTATTGCTGGGCAAGAGTCTTCAATGCTACAAACCAGGTCATTAATTGCAAACTAAGTTCAAACCACTATGATTTGACAAAGACAGTTCCCTATAAGTAGGCTCAGTATAGTTTTCGAGTCTCCTTATAAGAAAACATTCATCATCAGTCATAGTGTTCAGCGTGAACTGCTGCCTTTTTGATACACTGATTTAAAAATATATTTCTAGCTATTCTGTATCTAAGGCTTCTTCACTGAGTTGACTCTAGAGGACCTCATAAATAATTAGGTACAGTCTGATTCCACATTCATTCTTAAAGTGCTCATTGACAATTCAAATTTCTGCACTTTGAAACTGCAACTACATTTTTTAATCTGAAATGAATATATATTAATTTTCTAATAAATTTCCACATATTATATGATAAGCATATTAGTAGAAATTTCTGTGTCTGAACCACTTCAATTTGTCTGGTCACTTAGGCATAATGAAGACAGAACTGAGCTCATAAATTCTATTCTTTATTTATTTATACACTAATTCATTTAGAGGCTCCCTGTTGAAAACATCACTCACATCAAGATGCAGCATCAACAGACAATTAACGTTACATTTAATGCCAAGTACTCATTTATGAAAACTAAACAGATGCAAGTGCAGTGATGCAAATACTCTATTGTTTCTCAGTGTAGGCAAAACATTGTAGGTAAAACTAAAAATGCTTTTTTATGACTTACCTTTCATTTGATCTTCTTAGCCTGCATGTAATGCCCACAGGATTGCTTAGCTTATACCTACCTCCGTTCCATACATGCTTAAATTAGAGAATGTGCAAGAATCAGTGATTGTATTATGTGAAGTATATGTACTACTATTAGAAATTTCTCTAGCTGTTAAAAATTTCTATACTTTCAGTTCTGCAGACATCTGACCTAAGTTTCAGTGAAATCACTGGGCAAAGAACCAGATAAGTACTTTCCTTCTCTGTTGGGGAAAAAAAAAAAAAAAAAAAAAAGATAATTGGTATATCCCAAGTGTGTTTCCTCTTCCTTTGTGAAAGTCAGCCCATATAATCCAGGAAGAGGGACATTGTGATTAAGATCAGACATGCTCCAACAGCACCTGATGGACATCTACCATTACATAAAGTAACAAAAAAAAATTATAAAGGTTTTAATTCAGCAACAAAATTATTTTAAAAAATTAGACAAATCTCACATAAACCAGAAAATAAGAACGTAAATTAAATTCACTCTCTCGTATCAAGAGTTTATCCAGTTCAAATTGCAAGATTCTTTAGCCAGGCCCCCATGAGACCTTCAGCTGTTTTAACAGGTGTAGAGTAAAACACACACTATAAATAGTATGCAAATAAAACAAGGCCAAGGGAATAATCTATCAGTTGATCAGTGTGCTGTTCTAGTGTATAACTGATAAAAGGCAGGACAAAACAGGTTATAAAAGCAGCCTGAAAGAAATGAAAACCCATTTACTTTTTCTTTAAAAAAATGTGGGCGCTCTTGGTTCTCATAGGTGCTGCATCTGTTTCTGCTCATCTGCAGGATCGTTCCTTTGATGGGTAAGAACAGACATCAAGTTTTATATTTGCATGGGGTTTTTTGCATGAGCATAAGCCTTTCAATTGACTTACCTGTTTCAAATCCAATCTTTTTCTCCTTTTCCAGACAGAAGGTGTTTCGTGTGATTCCACAGAATGATGAGCAGGTGGAAATCCTCAACTCCCTTGCCAGCATCATGCAGGTAAAGAACCTGGAGAAGTGGTTATACTGTAGTTGAAAGAAACATTTCTCCTTTTGTTCAACTAACATTCAGCTTTTTTTAAAAATTCATATTACTGAATTAAAGACCCAATCTTAATTCAGTTCAAGTCAGCTGAGTGTTTCTTCAGAAGGAATAGGACAAGATAATAAAACTAAAGCTTTACAAATACATTTCAATACCTTCCTAGAAAGTCTGGTTAACCCAGCCTGAATATCAAAGTGCCCATTAGAACTTATCAATAAAATAAATCTTAAATTTTGTATTCAGTGTGGGGTGCTTTCAAGAATGTATTAGATAAATCATGGAAACTCTAACTTCCAGAACTTTTACCATTACAAGCAAAACATTTTGCTCATGCAAAGAGGATAGAAATTCATACTCCCAACAAATTGAACTTTTCTTTGGCATCTAGTCTCTCAAGTCGTTTTCCCTCCTCTGGCTTTCCTTTAAAACTTCCTTTCTCTCCAAGTTGCATGTTTCTCACTGACCTTGATGTAGATATATGATGACACAGTGACATGATGAAAAACTATAAAGACAGAAAATGTGTTTTCAATATTTCTCTTCAGCTTTGATGTTGTAAAATAGCTGTTGGTGAAAAAGACACCATTATCTGAAGGATGAAAGGAGAGTATTTTTAATGAAGTACAGATGTGGAGAACTATCATCAACAGGCTAGTATAGCATGCTGGAACAGTATTCTGAAGAAGAACAAGCTATTGGAATGGTGCTGCCAATATTAAGAAAATTAATACATACCATGCTTGCTTTAAAGTGTGTAGAATAAAGGGATTGTTTGTTTTCTTTTTCTTTTAAGCAAAGATCCATGAAATACCATTGTTATACAAAGCAATCGGTCAGGACTGATGTAATTCTGTATTCTGGAACAATCACCTTACTTGATGACACATAGTTCATGACTAAGAAGCCCCAACTTCTTTTACATTTCCAGTTAAAATTTAGGTTGATACTTCTGGCAAGCAAGGTCTGATCAGTGTAACAGAATAGGAATGAAATTCAATCTTTTAATCACAATCGACATCACCATCACACATACACCAACCTAAAAATCACAGCCACATGGACATATTTATTTGCTTATGTATTCATCTGCCCTTCTTTCAGGTTGACTTTTGGCAGCCAGACTCTGTCACTCTGGTAAGGCCAAAAATGCAAGTTGATTTCCGAGTTGGAGCTGAGAATTCTTTTGAGGTTGAAGAACTTTTGAAGGAAAGTGCAGTGGAGTATCAGTAAGTTCGTTCTCACTACTGTATTTTGAATGGAAGAGAACTAAACACTGGGGAGAATGTGTTTGAGCTTTTCATATTGGTCAATTGATTTTCCTGTCAGGAACTTCGGCCCTCCTGTGGATGACTCTACTGAGTTCAGCTTTCCTAAGATAGTTCAAATGGACTGTAATCACTATGTGTTGAAGGGCTGAGGTGAAATGTTGACAGAGGCAAGGTACAGGAAGCAAAGATGCACTACCAGAAATTTCCCTGAGGTGAAAGCTCATTGCAGTACAGTGTGGAGAGGACAAGAAAGATTTCCCACTAAAGACAAAATTCAGCAGAAGTCTAGAAAGAGCCAGAAAGCACACCAGATGAGTTTGAATGATACTAAGAGGGAACTGAAGCCAGAAAATGGTGAGCCCCAAGGGCCACCATGAGCAGCTCCCCAGTGAGTTCTCTAAGTTGCAGAACAACAGGCAGAGGGCCAAAAAAACCCAACAGGTGACACGCAGGAGACAGTTGCAAGGTGAAAGGCCAAGCAAGTGGGGAGAACAGATTCCCAGAAAAATCTTGGGCTTTCTCAAGTCCCACAGAAGATCCACAGCAAGGATCTCTCCAAAGAGAGAGCTTTTAGTTGTATCTTTACTTAGAAGTAAAAAAGCCATGAGCCGATCAAATACAACTGCAGCATAAGTGGAGGGAACAGAGCAAACTGGCACATTATGCATCACTGAGAACAGAAACATTGTAGTGAGCAGCACTAACGGAAGAATAAGGAGAATAAGCAGTTGCCTGGTCCTGCTTTCCCAATCACTATGTAAGCATTAACTGAGGAAGAGAAATTGACTTTCAGATGGAGTGGAGGGGGGTTGTTCTGTCTTCATTTCTCCTTTCACTCCACCTGAGCATTGCAAATTGGCTCTGCCCAGCCTCATTAACAGGCTTTTTTGATGTCTAAAGGGTAATCTGTCAGCATCGTGTACTCAAACAGTGAAAGTCAGTATTATTTGATCAAATGTTTATTATTTCATTTGGCTGAGTGTAGAGTTTTTGTCTCTCAGCCCCATTGTTGTTGCTCCTTCATAGGCCACCACACAGTCCTCATGAAACATAACTTTTACGATCTGATAAATCCGAAGGTAACCCATCCTAAATTTACTGGCCTCGTGTTAATCATGACTAATTTGGATGCTGCTGTGAGAACAGAATCTAAAACCACTCTGGAATAAATAATTTTCAATAATGCCACAGTGCACATACAGCACAGAAATCCAATTTTTAGTGGAATTTCCTCTGTAGCAATGGAGGAGTTACTCTACATGTGTTAGCTTTCCTATAATATTAATGAACTCCCTCAGGTCCATGCACAAATCTTTTGATTGCAACAAAGGCCACAAGGGTCTGGAAGCTGACCCTGACAAACTTGAGTGGGTTGTCCTTGTGACAACCCAAGATGTTATAATTCTTTTGAAGTGCAGCTGCAGTGCCGTGACATGTCAATGTAGTCATTTGCACTGTTTGTTCTGAAGGCTGGTGATGCCTCACAAACTGGCCTCCTGTTCTTCTATCCAAGTCACAAATCACCAGGTACATATCCTGGATGAGCAAGATTTGTAAACGTGTTAAGACAGGCACTGGAAAAACAAGAGGACTTCGTTTTTTGATGGCCAAGGTTGAAATATAAGCAAAAGGTTCTCAAGAGTATGCTCAGTGATGAGCTGTGCCTTTGTGTCAGCCCCAGGGAAAGGTGAACAGGAGAGACCCAAACAATCCAGACATGATGCTGGGGTTTTCTTGCCATTGTGTGTTCAACTTTAGTAGCCCACCTCACACTCAATAAAGTAGCTTAAAGGATGGACAATGCCCCTGCAATAGAGAAGTCAAACCACATCTAAACTTTGGAAGCTAGGTTTGACAGAGAATTTCATCAAGCAAAACATGGGTTTCTGCATGGGATTGAAACATTGCTGCAGTTTAACTTCCCTCCATTACCAAAAGTTCAAGAGAGAGCCCTTTTCCTATTGAGGCAGAGGCATCTGGCAACATGAGATCAGCCCAGAGCTCATTTTCTAGACAAACTCTATCTTAGCATTGCCATTTTTCTTAAATCAAACTGTTGCCACCCTGGAGGTTTGCTAGTATGGGAGTAAGCAGGCAGGTGTTAACTGGGAGAAGCCCATTGCTCCCTGATCATTCTGGTGGCAAGACTGAGGCAGGAAGTAGGTTGAAACTTGAACCTAATATATCTTACTTTCAACCTGCTCACCTTTCACTTCACAATCCACATGGCCTTAATTCCAGGAACACCTTTAAATGTCTTACTTTCCTGCTAGATTATAGTATGTTTCTCTTTACACTCCTCATGGTGCCTTATTCCAGAGTTCTGATTGACAACCTGCAGGCTGCGCTGGACACCCAGTTTGACAGCCAAGCTCGTGCTGCCGGCCACAGCTATGAAAAGTACAACAACTGGGACACGGTACAGTCTAGAATTTTATCTCATTGTCAGCTTGGTACCTTGGCCTCTGTAGTCAAAGTGGCTTTCATGTGCTTCCTGCCTTCTTCCCTTTTCCTCTTCTGGTCCATCTGTTGGCATGATAATGCCTCCAAACTCTCCTTCCTCTTCTCCTTTATTGCTCATTACTGAGCTAGTTTGTGTAACCCATCCTCCTACACTTATTTCCTCTGTTTCTGCTCCTAGTGCTGCAAGGAGCTTCTGGAAGAAATCCAATGACCAGGCTGAGATGCTTCATGACTAATTTCTTCTTTCCTTTTTGCTACTTCTCCCATCTCCTCTGCCAAACAACTTGATTCCATTCCCTGCCCCAATTCTAGGCCTTCATCTCACAGCGCTAAGTTCTCCCCTGCTTCCTCCTTTTTTTCACAGCCATGCTCATTTTTCCTGACATATAATCCTGGCCATGTCACTTTTCACATCTTTGCAGTGGGTCCTAGGAAATCTACAAACTCTGTTAAGTATTAGGCCACATTAGGTGCTCAGAAGGACTGTCCTAGCTTAAAGTCTGTAAATTAATTAGTCTGGACTTAAGGAACAGACACTCAATAAATTTAACCTCCTTATTGCATAGATAGCTGCTTGGACTGCTGATATTGCTGCTCAGAACCCAGACCTTGTCTCTCGTAGTGTAATTGGGGAAACATATGAAGGACGGCCAATGTACCTTCTCAAAGTAAGTGCTTTGATTTCTTCATGCCAGACTTTTCCCTTATTAACCTCTGAAAGTTTATGATGTCAATTGAAACACCAATGATGCTAACAAAATACTAGATATTTTGCAGAAAATCTAATATATTTTGTTTACCTCTACTATGATTTTTTTTTTTTTTAGGCACATAATAAATTATTAGAAGTTCAGGCTTATAAATCAATCACACTCCTGAGAGCTATTTGAATGATCATCTACCTTTATGTTCTCTCCATCTATTGTTTGTAAAACCATTTACTCTAAAAGGATCTAGAAATATCAGACTCTAGCAATAGGAAACACATTTGTTTGTATCTTCACCATAATTTTGAGCTGGTTTTAACTGGGGTAGAGTTATTTTTCTTCTCAGTAGCTAGTATGGGGCTGTTTTGGATTTCTGCTGATTTGGAAACAGCATTGATAGTTCAGAGATGTTTAGTTATCACTGAGCAGTGACTACACAGAGCCAAGGCCTTTTCTGCCTCTCACACCACCATGAAGGGGCTGGGGGTGCACAAGATCCGGCAGGGGACACAACTAGGACAGGTGACCCCAAATGACCCAAGAGACATCCCAGATCATATGGCTATGATATTACTACTACTACTACTACTACTATTACTATTATTTCCATTATTAAACTGTTCTTATCTCAGCCCACAAGTTTTCTCTGAGTGGAGCTTATTAGTCAGCTGGGGTTAAACCACATTTTTTTCGTAACATTTATGAATTAGTAAGGCAATTACTTAAATAAAGGTGAAAGGATAAAGAGTGCTTGCCCAAAAATTAATAAGCATGTACAATAACATATTCAAACAGATAAGACCAACTTTTAGAAACACTACAGGAAATAAATCAACAGTGCAGAATAATCAAATAATTTGGGGGAAGGTTATCTACATTAATAAAAATGAAATTATTAAGAGTATTGTTTTAGCTTGAATATCGTGGTCAGCTAGAGCTGGGAGCAGCAAGCTGACTGACTTGTTCTGCATACAACTTATTTTGCTCAAGACTCAGGTGTGGGGTTTTGTTTTTTTTTTTTCCTTCTAGATGGGAAAAAGTGGTCCAAATAAGAAAGCCATCTTTATGGATTGTGGTTTTCATGCAAGAGAGTGGATCAGCCCTGCTTTCTGCCAGTGGTTTGTGAAAGAGGTCAGTAAGCGTAATGATGAAAAAGTACTTTACAAAATGTAACTATGTTTAAGATAATCTTATGTGAGCAGCAAGAGCTGAGGGCACTGCAGATTGCCTTTTTACCTCCAAATCCCTGTGTGCACATCCCTTCTCTGACCTCAGAGGGTTAAGGTGTAACTACTTAAACCCAATCTTAGTGCTTGAATCTGTAATCTTTCAGCAGTGTAAGACAACCTGAAACATGTAAGAGGTACTAACTACTACAAGGGTTACTCACACAGTTTGTAAATTCTTTTTTGCATCTATAACCAGGGAAAGGTGAGAGAAAAGCAAACAAGTCTACTAACACCACAAAAATACGTTGTGTACACAGTCATGAAAGAAATAAGGAAATTCAAGGGCACATCAGAGGGCATCTGAAGGCACTTCAGCTGATTTCCTACAGTATCTGGTGCTGTATTCCTCACAACCAGCTTTACTCAGTAAGGAGAGAGGGTGGAAATCTACCCTCAGCTCAGCACAGGGTGCACTGAGGAAATGTACCCAAGAGAGGAAGAAGAGTGTATACAAAGCTCCCTAAACTCTGGGAAGAAGGAAATGTATATACGTGCCTTTGAGCTGCCACTTCAAGTTGTGCAGAATGGTTTCTAAAATATGAAACCATACTCAGGGAAGTGTTGCACAGGTAAAATTATCTTCACTTCAGTCTGGGATACTAGATACTTCAGGCCTTGAATTAAAAAATGTTATCTCCTTTATCTTTTTATTCTCCTCACCACCAATATAAAGCAGGTGTGAGTTATATGCTACATACTAGTCTTAACAGAGAAGAGGTGTATTATGCCTCAGCTGGGGGAGATCAATCAATTTAGTAGGACAACTTACTGATTCAATCTCAAATTTTGAAAGAATTTCTGCTTGAAGATTAAAGCAAACAAACATACAAACACAAACCAGAAGCAGCAGCTGGAATTTAAAACCCAGGTGAAGGAAAGCCAAACTACGTGAGTGAGCCATGCTGGCAGAGGCATCGGTGGCCAGTACAATCTCAGTGTTATCAGACAGGCATGCGGTTTGTGTAGGGAGCAGTGGAAATTGAAAGTGACATTTCAGTGGAGTCAATGGGAATGTGATTTCATTAGAGCCTAATAAGGCTGCAGACAGTATGCGCTACCATTTCTCTCTCAGCAATTCACATCACTGCAGCTGTCATTTTCACTGTCTGGTCACTTAATTCATGGGTGTACCTGACACCAGCAGCAGCTGTGCTCCGTGGGCCCACCTACCAGTATGAGATGACTTTCTAACAACACTTTGGTTTGAGTAGGTGTAAATCCTCTCAGTACATGTAGTAACACAGAGGTGCCATCTCACATGCTGGAGTGACCTGGATGACTTTGCCTACATTCATTAATTCCTGATCCAGATCCAGGCCTTTATATATATAAACAGGAGATACAGATTTATGAAGACATCATCAGCTTTTTCTACTTTTCTCAAAGTAGGCTGTTGAGACCTATGGAAAAGACACTGTCATGACCACACTTCTGGACAAGTTGGACTTTTATGTTTTGCCTGTTGTTAACATTGATGGCTACATTTACACTTGGACGAATGTAAGTACATTCTTTTTTTTTTTTTTGCAGTGTTGTTGGAAAATCAACTGTTAGAACTTACTCTTATTTTTCATCTATTATTCTATTTCAGGACCGCATGTGGAGAAAGACTCGCTCTAAAAATGCCAACAGCAATTGCTATGGTACAGATCCCAACAGGAATTTTAATGCTGGCTGGTGCAGTAAGTATCTTCTAACAAGAGTTGCAAGAGTTCATACTGAAGTGCAACAGCCAATATATTTAATTAAGGGTTTTCCCTACCTGATGGTTGGTCCAGCTCCAGCTTGTGTGAAGACCACCAATGTAGCATTGTGGAGTAGCTTGTGTTCAATTTTTGGAGCAGTTTTGGGCAGAAAAAAACAGGAGACTTTGGCTACTAGCATCATCAGTATGGCTTCTTCTATAAACATACCTACACACACACACATGCATATACACACATATATACTTACACACATGTATACACATACATACATGTACACACATGCACACATTGCTATGAGTTCAGAAAAGAAACAAGAAGAGCTTTCTTTCATGGAGAGGGGTCTCTTCTGAGTGGTTTCCACTTGTCTGTTTCTTGAAAGTGCCTTAGAAATGGAGGAGATACGCAAGGAGAGGACTGTTAAGCACTGAAGCAAATCAATATCCCAAATCACTTCCATAGTATAGGGCTCTACATCAGTACTCATGCTCTTCCAACTATGCATACTCTACATATATGACATGTTTTCCAGTGCCTTAACTATCCCATGAAATATTCCCTCCTCTGATATGACACATGTGTTAGATGGATTTCCAAGGCTTATCTACTAAAGTGGTGTAACATGACTCTTCTAACAAGCAACTTGTTCATTAAATACTCATTAAACTCACCTTTCTTCTCAGCTACCGGGGCCTCAAAAAATCCTTGTTCTGCCACTTACTGTGGCTCTGCACCTGAGTCTGAAAAGGAGACCAAGGCTTTGGCTGATTTTATTCGTGAACATCTTTCTACAATCAAGGCATACTTGACGATTCACTCCTATTCCCAGCTGCTACTGTTTCCTTATTCATATACTTACACACTGCCATCAGATTACCAGGAACTGGTAAGTCTCTTTGTCATTTTGACTTAATGAAAAGAATAAGTAAAAATCATCACTTGCTATTTGAGGTCCATTTAACTTCAAGCACTTTCTTTATTATCTGGAAAGAATCTGTACTGCCAGTTTTTTAAAATGTTTTAGTCTTTCTCAGCAAGAACAAGGGAAACTATGATGGCACAGGTTAAATTTAAGGGCCTTATTTAATTTTCCACGCTGTACAGGTCACGCTATACAGAAATCCACTCTGCTGTGCAGCTCTGCTTCTTCCTGACTCCAGGGATTGCTGTGTATGTAGCTTTAATATACGACATAGAAACATTATGCCCTGTAAGCCAAGGTAACAGCTTGATAGATTGTAATAACTACGAAATGGAACAACTGTTACCATCAACAGCAGGCAAGGATCTCTGTCTTCCTGCTGAACCTGAGCTCTCACTGAAGTAAAACGCTTAAACTGTTGGTACAGGTTCAGGACAATGAGGCAGCTGTTGTCAAAAATATAACTGAAAACAGTTAGATACAAAACAGCTAAAATGTTTTAGTTCTGAGGCCTTTTTCAAGAGGCCTGGATTTAGACACACATTTTATTTGCAAGAGGAGAGTATGAATGTAATTTTTTTAAAGGGCAATGTCTCTTTAATTGATTCTAGAGAAAGGTCACACCCAAATGCCAATTAAGTAAGATAACAAAAGTCTGGAATATAAATTTTCTTTATCCTCAAAAACAGATAGAGGGGTTAGAACTATCAAATGTGTATAAAAGCTGTAAACATTTTATAGGCCAAGAATAAACACTCATGAATAACTGAATTACTTCACTTATCTGGCATACTAGCAATTAGAAGCTGTTGGCAGGGAAAACAACACAGCAAGACAAAACAAACACATTTTGATTCCCCCTCTTTCCGGGATGATGCCAAAAGTCCAAGGCAACAACACTGTGTGTTGCTCTGCTGTGCAGGTTTGACAGATTTATGACTGCTCCCAAATAGATGTCTTGATTCTGAAGCACAAATAAAAACTGGGGCCAAGAGTGAAGTTTCTTGTTAG